GATTTTCCTAAAGCACAGGGCTGTCCAATCATGTCACCCCTAATCAGTAAACTCCAGTGGCTCCCTGTCACCTCCAGGAGCAAATGCAAAATACTCTGGCTTCAAAACCCTTCATCACCTGCCCCCTCCTACCTTTCCAACCTTCACACAGCTTATTCCCCAACGTGTACTTTTCAATTCAGTGGCACTGGCCGCCTGGCTCCTCCATGACCAAGACCCTCCATGTCTTCCTGGGCCTTCACTCTGGCTGTCCCCCGTGCCTGGAATACTCCCCTCCTGATCTCTGCCTGTTGGCTTCCCTGGCTTAAAGTCCCAACTAAAATCCCATCTTCTACAGGAAGCCTCTTTCACAGCCTCTCAGTTCTAGTGCTTCCGTCTGTTAATTATTTCCTATTTATCCTGTATATAACTGGTTTGTATATTATGTGTTTGTTTGCTATGTCCTTGAGGGCAGGAACTGTCTTTTGACTCAATGCTTAGCACAATACCTGGCATATAGTAAGCTCTTAATCAATATTTATTGACTGACTGATCCTTCTCTCTTCCTCACTTTGAGTTAGTACCTCTTAGGTCCTTCCCTTCCTCCCTATTCCCCCTGCCTCCAACCTAATGTAGGTGCCCATTGCTTGGACTATTGTAGGAGGCTCCTAATATACCTTCCCCCTTCTACTCTCACCCCTCATACACCCTTCATACAGAGAGCAAACTAATATTCCTTTTACACATATCCAATCAGAGCTTTCAATAGCTCCTTAATGTCAATCATCAATAAATCTACAAGCATTTATTAAGTATATAATACGCGCCAGGCACAATGGCGATATAAAGAAAGGAGTTTACATTCTACAGAGGAAAATTCATTTTCCTTAACCAGGCATTCGTAGTCCTCCATAACCTGATCCCTTTACATGGTAGGAATCCACTAAAGATATTTCATTTTATATCTTTTTTTCCCCACTGTGACTGGACAACAAGGTTGTTGTTTTTTTTTTTCTGATGGGACTTTTGTAGACCAGACCAGTGCCTGAAAATGCTGTCCTGTGTCAAGGTGCCATTCACCTATGGTTGTCAATTGCACTGTAACTATCAGTCCAGATCACAGCATGGTAATAACCACTCGATTATTGGAGAATTGAGATCCAACAATATTTAGTGATCCTATTTGACGACTGTTCGTGGAAGACGGAAGGGGAGAGGGAAAAGACAGCTATTAGCTGTGATGAACACTTTAGAATCTTACCTGTATAACTCCAAATCACGTTCCAAAATGGTTGAACCAATTCACAATTTCACCAACAATGCACCAGTGTGCCTATCTTCCCATAACCCCTCCAGCATTGATGAGTCTCATCTTTTGTCATCTTTGACAGCTTGTAGGGTATGAGGTGAAACCTCAGTGTTGTTCTGATGTACATTTCTCTCATTTTTAGTAATTTGGAGCACTCTGTTAAGAGTTTGCCAGTCTTTAAATCCTTTGACCATTTGTTTATTGAGGAATGGCTTGGGGCAGCTAGGTGGCACAGTGGATAGACCTCTGGGCTTGGAGTCAGGAGGATCCATTTAAATCTGGCCTTAGACATTTGATACTAGCTGTGTAACCCTGGGCAAGTCACTTAACCCATTGCCTAGCCAAAAAAAAAAAACAATTCATTGGAAACTAAGTAACTTAATCCTAAAAAATGGATGGGACAAAGAACAAATAATAGAAATGATAAAATATAATGACAATACAAATTTATAAGAATATATGTCATTCCCCAGTTGATAAATGGTCAAAGGATATAAACAGGCAGTTTTCAGATAAAAGAAATTAAAGCCATCTATAGTCATATGAAAAAATGCTCTAAATCACTATTGAGTAAAGAAATGCAAATCAAAACAACTCTGAGGTACCACATCACACCTATCAGATTGACTAACGTGATAAAACAGGAAAATTAGAAATGCTGGAGAAGATGTGGGAAAATTGGAACACTAATGCATTGTTGGTGGAGTTGTGAACTGATCCAACCATTCTGGAGGGCAATTTAGAACTACACCCAAAGGGCTATAAAACCTTGCATACCCTTTGACCCAGAATACCACTTCTAGGTCTATATCCCAAAGACCATAAAAATGGGAAGAGGATCCACATGTACAAAAATATTTATAGCAGCTCTTCGTGTGGTGGCAAAGAATTGGAAATTGTGGTGGCAGCGAGGTGGTGCAGTGGATAGAGCACTGGCCCTGGAGTCAGGAGGACCTGGGTTCAAATCCAGTCTCAGATACATAACACTTACTAGCTGTGTGACTCTGGGCAAGTCACTTAACCCCTATTGCCTAACCAAAGAGAAAAAAAAATTGGAAATTGAAGGGATGCCCATCAATTGGGGAATGGCTGAACAAATTGTGGTATATGAATGTAATGGAATACTATTGTGCTATAAGAAATGATGAGCAAGCAGACTTCAGAAAAACCTGGAAAGACTTGTATGGACTGATGCTGAGTGAAATGAGAAGAACCAGGAAAACATTGTATATAGTAGTAGTCACGTTGTGCAATGACTAACTTTGATAGACTTAACTCTTTTCAGCAATGCATGGATCAAAGATAACTCCAAAAGCCTCATGATGGAAAATGCTATCCACGTCTAGAGAAAGAGCTATGGAGTCTGAATGCAGATCAAAGCATACTATTTGCTCTGGTTTTTTTTTGCTGTCTTTCTTCTTTCTCATGGTTCCTCCCATTGGTTCTAATTATTCTTTTCAATATGACTAATGTGAAAATATGTTTAATATAAATGTATATGTAGAGCCTATATCAGATTGCATGTCGTCTTGGGGAGGGAGGAGGGGAGGGAGGTGGAGAAAATTTAAAACTCCAAAGTTTATAGAAGTGAATGTTGAAAACTAAAAATTAATTACTTTCTTTAAAAAGATAATGACAATGAGACAACATACCCACATTTGTGGGATCCGGTCAAAGCACTGTAGTACCCTGAAGTACTTGGGGAGAATTTTACATCTCTATGCTTACATCAATAATAGAGAGAAAGAGCAGATGAACAAGTTGGCCATACAGCTGAAAAACCAACTAGAAAACCAAGAAACTAATAAACCCTAATTAAATACCAAAATAGAAATTCTGGAAATCAAAGAAGAGATGAACAAAATTGAAAGTTAAAAAATGAATTAATAAAACTAGAAAATTTTAAAATAATAAAATAGATACTTCATTAGCTAATTTGATTTTTTAAATAAGAAAATAAAATTATCAGTATCAAAAATGAAAAAGGGTAAATCCACAACCAACAAAGAAGAAATAAAAGCAATTATTAAGAGCTATTTTACCCAACTATATAACAATAAAACTGACAATCTAAATGAAATGGATAATTGCCCAGATAAGCAGAACAAGAAACTGAATACTTAACCGTATTGTAGAAAAAGAAATTAAATTAGACATAAATGAACTCTCAAAGAAAAAATCTCAGGACCAAATGAATTTACAAGGGAATTCTACCAAACATTTAAAAAATAATTAATCCCAATATGATATAAACTGTTTGGAAAAAAAAAAGTAACGAAAGGATTCTTCCAAATTCCTTCTATGATACAAATATGGTCTTGATACTTAAATCATACAGAGTCAAAACAGTGAAAGAAAACTACAGGCTAATTATCCTAATGAATATTGATGCAAAAAATAAATAAAATATTAATGAGGAGATTACAGCAACATATCTCAAAAATCGCACACTATGACCAGACTGGATTTATACCAGGAATTCAGGGCTGGTTCAATATTAGGAAAACTATACACATAATTGACCGATAACAAAAACAACAAGAAATCAATTATTTCAGTAGGTGAAAAAAGTTTTAACAGAATACAACCCCTAGTCCTCTGGGGGAAAAAAGCCACTAGAAAACACAGAAATAAATGGAACTTTCCTTAAAAAAAGTACTATAGCTCTAAAATCAAGAGAAAGCATTATCTGTCTTAAGGATAAACTAGAAGCCTTTCCAATAAAATCAGAGACAATGCAAGGATATCTATTTTCACCATTACTATTCAACATTGTACTAGGGATGATAGCTGTAGCAATGACAAGAAAAAGAAGTTGAAGGAATAAGCATAGGCAAAGAGGAAATAAAACTGACTTTTTGCAGATGATCTGGTAGTGTACTTAGATAACTCTAAAAGTCAACAAAAAAATCTAATTGAAACAACTAACAATTTCAGCAAAGTTGCAGGATATAAAATAAGCCTACACAAAGCATCTGCATTCCTGTATATTACCAACCAAATCCAACTGCTAAAGACAGAAAAATTGCATTTAAAAGAATTATGGATAGTATAAACTACTTGGAAGTCTACTTGCCAAGACATACACAGAAATTGGTGGCTTCTCAGGCTTAACATACCCTGTTCACCAGACACAATACAGTGGGGAATGTCTAGGCAAGAGAGTTGTGGCCTGCCTGAGCCAATGCCATATCTTTGCTGAGTACCCTTTCTATGTTATTGTTAATTAAACCTTCATTTGTTAACTGTTAAGATGGTCTACAAGTGTCTCATTTCTTTCCAAATCATGAGTCTGAACCACTAGACTGGGTTGAGTCATGTCTGGTCCAGAATACCAGGCCATGAGTTAGCTGGGAAGCCAGCGGTCCTCAGTGTTGCAGCTACCCTATGGGTACAATCAGGTCTGAAGAAGATATGGAAAAGATGGTCATCTGCCAAGTAGGAGTCTACCAGTGTGAGCACATGCCCCCAAGGAATTTGGAGAGGCACCCACTATTTTCTAATGGCTTCCTCCCTCCCTTTTGCCAAATTTCAATCCAAAGTTGGTCCAGGATTTCTCTCCTATGTTGTTGGGTGACCTGATTATGACATCATTAGCTTAGAGGACAGTGGAGTGCCTGAACAGTCCAGTGTATGAAGTAGAATCTTCTGTAGTCTTGGCAACAGTCTCATTGTGCCTTCATCATCGGTGCCTCAGTTTCTCTCCTGCTTACCCTGACCCAGTCACCTCTTGTTTGGCATTCCTGTGGCCTCCTGGGGAATGAACCTGATGACACGTGAGTGTACTCTGAGTATCCCCTTCAAAGACACTTCTTGTCAGTACCTCTATTTCTTGAGATTAAGTGATTTCAAAAAAGAGAGAGAGAGAGAGAGAGAGAGAAAAGAAAAAGAAAAAGGAAGCTAGAAATCTTGAACATCACAATAGTAAATCTTGGTCCATGATAACAGTTAATGAAAAATACCTCCCTCCTCTTATCACACAGGCGGGGAGCCACCAGGGCAAAATGTGACATACATGATCAGATTCGGTCCACTGCTTTTGTTTAACTAGTTTTTCTTTCAATTTCTGTTTTGGGGGGAAGGGTAGGGTGGGATTGGGTGGGAGAAAGGAGTGGTGGGTAATATCCAGAAATAGCTAGCAGGTAGACAGAAGGCATTGATAAACCTGAATTTTTTTTCCAAAATAAGACTAGAGAACACTAGAGAGGATGTCAGGATGGGTTGATGAGTGATTAGTTTTGTTGAGTTGCTTTTCTTTCTTTTTTTAATCTTCGTTATAAGGATTGGTTCACCAGTTAGAGGATGGAGGAAGGATAGATTTGGAAATGATGATGTTTTAAAAAACATACACATGTATATATTAACATGCACATATACATATATGTCTATATTTATGTATTTCACATGGTTACACAATTATGTCACATATAATTACATAATGCGATTATATATAATCATATCTTATAGTATATTGTTTAATACATATAATTTTTATTATATGCTATAATTAACATAGTATATAATATTTCATATATATATATATATATATATAATGAGACTAGGATATTGTATAATTGTAATGCTCAATCCTGGCCCCAGAAAAGAGATGAGGACATATGCCTCCAGCCTTGGAGGTATGAGGATTCAGTGGGTACAGAATGTTAAATCATCAAGTCAACAAGCATTTCTTAAGCACCAGGCACTGTGCTAGGTGCTGAGGATACAAAGAAAGGTAAAAACCAAACCCTGTCCTCAAAAGGAGCCTCCCTCTAACAAGAGAGACAAAGATTATGTACAAAAAAGCTATAGCCAGGATAACAAGGGGGCAAAGAGGGAAGGCATGAAGATGATGGAGGACTGCAAGAGGCTTCTTGTACAAGGTGGAATTTTAGCTGCGTCCTTAGGTTTTGGTTAACTGGTTTTGTCATTACAAAGAAATCTCCCTGGGTGTGGTGTGGGGGGGAGTATCTAGAAATCACTGTGATGATGTAAAATCAAAGGCACCAATGAAAAATGAAGCTATACAGTCCTAAAGATAATTAAATCTCTCCAGGTTAACTTCGAACCCTGGAGGCTCATTCTTGCATCTAGGTCAACTGTTGCCTCATGACCTTCCCTCAACATACACTTACTCCAGCCTGCTTATTTTCCTCTGACTTATGCTGCTTTAAAATTTTTCATGGGGGCAGATAGGTGATGCAGTGGATAGAGCACTGGCCCTGAAGTCAGGAGGCCCTGAGTTCAAATCCAGTCTCAGACCAGATACTTGACACTTACTAGCTGTGTGACCCCGGGCAAGTCACTTAACCCCAACTGCCTTGCCAAAACAAACAAATTTTTTCTTTTTCTCTCTTTCATCCATCCTTTCTCCCTCCCTATCTTCTTTCCTTTTTACTTTCTTTCTCTCTTCTTTTCTTTTTCTTTTCTTTCTCCTCCTTTCCTCTTTCTTTCTCATCTTCCTTCTTTTTCTTTCTTTCCCTTTCTTTCTTTCTTTCTTTCTTTCTTTCTTTCTTTCTTTCTTTCTTTCTTTCTTCCTTTCTTTCCTTCCTGGGTTTCCCTATCTCACCCAGGAAACCACTTAAGGTCCCAATTGCACAACTCATCCAGCAGGGCAGCTTTGACTTGCTCTATTTTCCAAATTTGGCCAGCTCCGCACTCCTGGGGTGTGTGTAGAGGAACTCACCACATTGGTCCTGGACTTAATGGGGGACATTTAGTTGGCTTAGCGTACTGCAGCTGAGAAGTCCCAAGCTCAAGGGATCCTCCAGCCTCAGTTTCCCCAATACCAGGAATTATAGGCATGGGCCACCATGCTCAGCTAGCTTACTGCCTTCCAGCTCTGGCCTGGTGTCCTTGAGAGAGAGAGAGAGAGAGAGAGAGAGACAGAGACAGAGAGAGATGGCTTCAGAGTCAGAAAAACTGGGGGCTCAATCCTACCTCTGACCCATCCTGGCTTTGTGTCCCTAGGAAGTCACTTAATTTCTGGTGCCCCAGGCAGCTCTATAAATTGCAGAGGAGGTGCTAATCTGCCTCAGTAGAGGACATTCCACACCTGGGACTCCCTTCCACAGATGAAATTCACAGGTCCAATAGCTTCAGGGTCTACCATTCTATGTCTACTCTTCTGCCTCTGACACTGCAGAAGCAGAGGAGACGATAGGCACAGGAGTGGAGAAAGGAGCCAAAGATATGCTTTTAGCCATCTATAAACATCACCTGCTGGTATTCTAAAGGTGGAATCCTTCTCTATAATGGTATTGGAAAAATGGAATCTTATTCATCTTAACATTCCCATAACAAAACCAGAAGGCAAAAGAAGGTTCTGGGGTCATACATTTAAAGCTGAAAAGACCTCCAGGAGTACTTTAGGCCAGCCTCCTTACAGAGATCCATGGAGGCTACAAGACTCATCCAAGGTCACACAGGTAGAAAGCCGAACTAGAATTTGAATTTTTGACCTCTGACTCCCAATCCAGAATTCTTTCCACTGTTGGGTGGAAAATAGTTTCCACTATTTGTCTCTCCTTGGAGAAACAAGACAAATGAAAAATTGCTGGAGTTGGTTTTGTCATGACTCCAAAAGCAAAATAATAAACATTGTCTGATGGGACATGTGGTCATTTTGTCTAGCAGTGCCCACAAAGCGCTAAGTATACAGGGTGTTCTCACTGATCCTTTGTAAAAAGACTACCACAAAATAATTTCTCTTTATCTGCCAATATCTATTGGGAGATGTGAGAAAGAATAGAAATTTCACGGAGAATTGAATAAGAAGCTCTAAATTAAATCAAGATGCACCTGGTGACATTAATGCAAAGGGGAGGAGAGTGGCAAAAAAAATTTGTTGGAAAATATGGCTCAGGAGGAAGAAATCAAAGTGACCAAAGGTTTGTTCACACACTACACAGAAACCTCATGTAAATATGGTGTTCAGTTATCTGAGTCGTGTCCAACTCTTTGTGACCCCATTTGGGGTTTCCTTGGCCAAGATACTAGAGCAGTCTACCATTTCCTTCTCCAATTATGAATGCTTTCATCAAAGAGATTTGAGAGGCAGTGGATGTGGCAAGAACCGAGTAACAAGTCAAACTGACTTATTTTGACTGGAAAGGGTTCACTACTTGGGGTGGGAGTTATTTCCCTATCAACTATTTGTATATAGTCAGGTCATTGACTCATTAGCAGGTCAAAATAAATGTCAAATTGGAAGAAAAAATGAGACGACATGCAATTAAAACAACTCCAACCTGACCTATTTAAACAAAACTGTTGAAGACCCAAAAAATGAGAAATGGATAAAGGAACAGAAGTTGATACAGACAATTGTAACTTCCTAAGGAAGTTTAACTTTGGTATATCCATCACAAATGGTAAATCTGTTTCCACAACGGGGAAACATAAAGAGCCTAAAAGCTACCCCAGCAGTAAACTTTGAGCTGCTTGCCAAGTGGAGAGATATGATACCCAAGGACAACACCTGTTTTCTTATTTGTAAAATCTTACGGACAGTACTACAAAATTATGAGTGATATCATCTCATAAAATATAAAAAAAGTCATAAAGGGAAAGAAGTTTACAGAAAGCTTGGTGAGATATCTAATTAGACCAGATCATTCTAATGGCATTTAAAAGTGAACCTGGGAAAGGGACAAGAGATTGAAAAATGGAAAAGATCTGTCAGGATATATCATCTCCATCAACAGCAATGGAATCATCACATTTGGACTCTCATATCACAATCTCTATTGAGAAAGTAGAAATAGCACCAAGAAAAACCAAGGGCAGCTAAACTGAAGGAAACACACGCAGCAGAAGTCCATGCCGAAGGCCAAAGGCTACCCACAGAACAATGGGGAGACATAGGGTTGACATAAGTAGTCTGTAGCATACTATTTTAAAAATAATTTTATTTTTCCTCAATTACATGTAAAGCCAATTTTTAGCATTTGGATTTTTTTAAGTTTTGAGTTCCAAATTCTCTCCCTCCTTATCTCCCCTTCCCTCTCATTGAGAAGACAAGAAATTTTATACATGTAAAACATATTTCCACATTAGTCGTGTTGTAAAAGAAAACAGACCAAAAAAACCCCCACCACAACAAGAATAAAAAGTTGTGGGGTTTTTTTTAAAGTTTTTTTCAATCTGCATTCAGGCTCCATCAGTTCTTTCTCTGGGGATGGACAGCATTTTTTATCATAAGTCCTTCAGAGTTGACTCTGATCATCGTATTGCTGATAATAGCTATGCCATTCGCAGTTTGTCATTTTACATTCTTGTTGTTACTGGGCACAATATTCTCCTGGTTCTGCTCACTTCACTTTGCATCAGTTCATGTAATTTTTCCAGGTTTTTTTGAGATCATACTTCCTGTTCATCATTTCTTATAGCACAATAGTATCCCATTACATTCATATGCCAAAACCTGTTCAGCCATTCCCCAACTGATGGACATCCTCTCAATTTCCAATTCTTTGCCACCACAAAAAGAGCTGCTATAAATATTTTTGTGCAAATAAATCCTTTTCAAAGTTAAAATAGTAGATTTGTAGTTTCATGTGTAATCATCTCTTTATTGTACTATTTTATGGAAAGGCTTGTTTTATTCCATAAATTAAAAATTAAATTTTAAAAAGGAATGAGTTCAATGACTTTAGAAAAACATGGAAAGACTTGCACAAAATAATGAAAAGCAAAATGAGCAGAACCAAGAGAACATTGTATACGGTAACAGAAATATTATTTAAGAACAATTTTGAGTGAATAAGTTATTTTGTCT